TGTTTGTAATTAAGCACAAAGTTACACAATGGGCTATCTGTGCTCTGCCCACCACGGGTATCGAAACCCGGTTTCTATTGTAAGTCCGCAGACATGCCGCTGTGCCACTGGGGGCGAAGATAAAGGAATTAAATAATATAAGAAACTGTTTCAAAAATTATGTATACTTTGAAATTTTAAAGCCTGAATCTGAGAAATTTAAAAAAAAGGATTATTTGTACTTCCTTTAGACAGTTTGGTAATATAACTTCTAATGAAATATTCTTATTAAACGCAGTATACTCACAACATGAAACAATATTGCAGAAAATACGATAAGCCTATACGTTTTTGTACGAGAGTTAGCGTATATATATATATTTTTGTATTCTTTCGCAACTTAAATCTGTAAAAAAAGCAACACCACCAGTACATCAAGAACTGAATTTGAGCAATACTTTGACCAAAACTAATAATTTTCAAATTTCATGACCACAGTACATCAGCAACTGACTTTAAACACCTTAAAACTGGAGATAACTTTCAGTACATGAAGAACTGACTTTGAACGCCTTAACCAGGGGTAGTAACATTCGTTATTACTACACAAGTTATGAAAGGACAAAGTATTTAGATGAAAGATTAGGTGTACACGTTGCAAAATACAATAAATATATTTATGTTTCTGATAGTTATTTTGGTCAAATGACCCGGGAAGATCGCATACACCCTGAACCTCTACCTCCCTCCTTGGCTGTTAGTTTGATTCATTTAAATACAGCTGTTTGGTGATTTCAGTTTTTGCGTATCCCGTGTTTAGGACTAAAACGAGTGAGTGGTCTTACCAACTGATATAAAGAGTTAACTCACAAGTATGTACTAGTATTTGTTTGCTTGTAATTAATCTGTGCTCTGTCCACCACGGGTATCGAAACCCGGATTCTAGCGTTGTAAGTCTGCAGACATACCGCTGTGCCACTGGGAGGCATGTACTAGTAAGACCATTTTCTTAGCAACTCTGACTTCACTGCTATTTCCTGTACGACAAATTGTGCTTGTTATGTTCAAGCAATTCTTGTGTCAGTGTTAATCACGTGAGTTTCAGTAAAAAAAAAAAATCAAAATAAGCGGGAACGTTACTGTCATTGGTGTACTAACGATGCACGTGAAGGAACAGCTGTGATTATGCAGTTGTAGAAATATTCTTTTACACATTACGTATTCCTGCGTTATGACCAAACTTGTACATAAATTACCATTCACAAACAAGCTCTCCCCGTTAAGAACAGTAAAATAAATAAATAGATATCCAAGGAGCACATATGAAGTCTTATATGTGAGATGGAGGGAGTTATGGCCCTTTCGTGCTTTAATTAACGCGCATACAACGCATTCTCTCATCTAGCATAAACCAACCCATTTATCGTCTTTGTATGAACTGTTGTTGATAACAAGACAATAACAACTTAATGATTTATAAGAACTCGATCGTTGAGTTCATTGGAGCATTACTCAAAACTGAAAGATGCTTTAATCGCTAATTATTGAGACATTTAATATGCTCATTTTACGGACTTTCCAATCCACCCATTGTTACGTAAGTTAAACATACATAGTATTTGTAAGCAAAATATAATTATTAACAGACACAAATAAAGCTTGTAGACCTACATTAACTGTAAAAGAGGTTATTCAATATTTTTGAAACTATTTGACCCTTCCCTCGGTACCAAGCCATCAAGTCCTCGTGTAGTCTCGTTACCAAGCCATCAAGTCTTTGTGTAGTTTCGTTGACAAGCCATCAAGACCTCGTGTAGTCTCGTTAACAAGCCATCAAGTCCTCGTGTAGTTTCGTTATCAAGCCATCAAGATCTCGTGTAGACTCGGTACCAAGCCATCAAGTCCTCGTGTAGTCTCGGTACCAAGCCATCAAGTCCTCGTGTAGTCTCGTTATCAAGCCATCAAGTCCTCGTGTAGTCTCGGTACCAGGCCATCAAGTCCTCGTGTAGTCTCGGTACCAGGCCATCAAGTCCTCGTGTAGTCTCGTTATCAAGCGATCAAGTCCTCGTGTAGTCTCGGTACCAAGCCCTCATTCAAATGTTCTACAACCGCTGTACGGGTCTCTACTGCTGCACCAGTTATTCTTACTGTTTGTTTTTTAAATAATAAAGTAATGTCAACTGGCTGTTTTACAAACAAAGACTAGAGATGTATTCAAGACTGGATAACTTGAGACCGAGCCAGTCGAAACCAAGACTAAGATAAGATCGAGATGAATATATTTTTTATGCGAAAAAAATTAAAAAGTAAATTTATTATTATTCTTGTAGCTCTTGTTTTTATTTTAAAATGTTATTTAGATTCCAAGGTTCGTTGCTAAACAATATATTGATTTCAATCTTGATTTTGTTCTCGACAGAATCAGTCTCGGTCTCGCCCACCCGGTCTTCACTAGATCTCTGACAGGGACACTAAAGAACAAAGTCTTGAACCCACTAAATATTTGGTACACAAATAATAAAATATGGTCTAAAATCTGATGGTGTATGGACCCCATAGGAAACTTTAAACCGAACAAAGTCA